CATCATACCAGATCCATTTTTTTACATATTGAAAATGTTTAATGGTTCTGCGTCGTCAATCTTATAAGGATTCTGTTAGTTCTTGGATTGCAGATATGGAAAAGCTGTATTTCTATGCAGTTTCGTGGAGAAAGCATGTGTTGAAAGATTTCCTGAGCAGCATCCAGAACATTTCGGTCGAGCATGATAGTCATTATATTGTTGTGAAACGCGGACTCAAATTGGGGTCTGAGTTTCAATGGATACGAACGACATTGAAGAGACTTCGGTCTTTGTCAACTGTTGTTATTGATTTAGAACTTAAAAAGGTCATTGTTGAAGACATCAAGGATTATCTTTATTCTTGTATCTGTTTCTGATACCAATCTCGAGGCTTTTCGTATCGACGAGGCTATCTTCTCTATGGGTCATTCGGTAGAGATAAATCAAGTTTGTGTTTGGGAATTGCCAGTATAGTGCAGCTCGAGATCTTTATGATCAGCCTTAGTGCAAATGATCTTGACGAAAATAGTTTGACTATTTTATTTCATTCTCTTTCAAAGTGATGCATCGTTCTTTTTAAAGATATGGACCAGACCGGTATTCGGAAACGCAGCATCGATATTTTTCTGTCACGGAATCGGTGTGAAACAGACAAGATCATTGAATGTGACGATTTGGAATATCACAGTTTTGAGCAGCGGAAAAATGGGATAATTTTTTTTACATTGTTCAATATCATCGACAACATATCAACACAGGAAGGTAGAATCTTGATCATGACAATCAACCATATCGAAAAATTCGATGACATTTTTTTTCGTTTTGAACACATTGATATGAAAATTTTCTTTTATCGAGCCGATTTTTCAGTTGTTCAACAACTTTTTCTCTTTTTTTTTTTAAAGCCGTCTAATACACTGGTTATGGGAGGCATGAAATTAATCGATTCAATCGATTCGCCATCTACATTGACCCGTTCCGATTGGGCGACAGAGGATATCATGAAATTATCGCTCGTTTTTGGAGACAAAGTTTCTGGAGACCGTTATACTGCAGCGGAGGTTCAGAACTATTTGTTGCTGTACAGGAATAATTTTGAATTCGCAGTTTGTGATGTGGCAGAATGAATGGGTTAGTTGTGCAACTGAGCCGTAAAATATATCAAACCGGTGCGTTTTTCGCAAATTGTAAGTAACGTGAGATCAAATGTTGGGAAACGGCATGAATGTCTAGTTTAGTGATGTCTCAAGCTCGAATCAGTAGAAGGTCATGTAAAAATAATCTTTTTAGTTTTTGCAAGATCTGATATTTTTTATCAAATAAGATATACGTCTGCGGAATCCGTGCCGTCTAGGTAAATTAAACACGAGAACAAAAAAGACTTACATCATTATTGGTGTTGTAGTCTGAACGGATCCTTTAAGCATGCTTATTGCAATTGCCATTCGAGGAATCCGGTATTTAATGAAATATCCGACAATTTAAAATCCAAGTGCTACTGCTGAACTATTCCATGTCGCCGCAGTTCGATGTCAGAAGCTAGAGTAGAGAAGATTGATTCGATTTCGAATGCAAGACTGTAATCCTTGCGATATCTCAAATCGGTATTATGTTCAATGGAAGTGGGATCGGCTGTATTAAAATCGGTTCTCTGTGATGTGGATATTGTTGAATTGGAAAATGCCAGACTTGCACTGCTGCAGTCCGTTATGTCATAGTCATTATTCACATTCGAGAGGTCATGAATTTTGAGATCTCCATTGTCCATTTCTTGTCGCTCTGATCGGCGTCTTTCGAGTTTCCGAGCTCGACGATGGTATTTTCTTTGTCTTTGTCGTCATCTTTCTCGGGTTTCATTTGTTTGGTTTTCATCCATTTGCGGTGCTTTACATTCTCTTGTTTGAGGCACACTGTTGTCTGTCTGGATAGATTGCTGCAACTGATGGTCTTGCACAATCTGTTTTTTTGTTTCACATCCGGTTCTTTCTGAAACATGCATATCTTCAGCAGTATCTTCAGCTGTCATAAAAAGTTCAGATTCATCAATTGGGATCGGGGCGATAGGAGACTTGTAACTTTCTGGGTCATTGTCGAATAGTGAAAACGACGAAAGGTTTCCGAAAAAGGCAAAGTAGACACAGCAACAAATGAAGAAGCTTGTTATCGTTTCGGTCATGGGAATCTTATCGGCATGCAAATAATCAATGAATAAGTGAATCCTATCGTCATTATGTATCTGCATTCGCGATGGATTGCATCGCGTGTTTGAGTTTGTAGAGAAATCCGCGAGATGTTCAGGAGAAGTTTTGGCTTGATCCGGAATTGCATTCTGAAAGCATTTGACGATACTGTCAACCAACGATTCAAACATGCGTGGGTCATAGTAGAAAATGCCGGGTTTGCGAGTCTGTAGTAATGCTGCATGTGCAATTGCCTGATCTGGAGATCGGTTGACTAGTTTTTCAATCTCAGACGACCGGAATCCAAGCCGGTAGGTGAGCCTAGCCATCTTATGAACCGTATGCTCGTCGGCCTTTGCACGGTTGGAATTTGCGAACAACTTCGCGCCAGTCTTTGGGTCTGGCGGCATCAGTGGATAATACCTCATGGCATAGAGCCAGACCTGGCGATATCCGAGCTCAAACTGTTCCATTGGGCTCATATGTGTCCTCCGGAAGGAGGTCTCTGACGTTTGAATGAGGCATTCTCCTTCTGGTGGTGCGACAAACATGTGATTCATTGTAGTGTAAACTGAGCCTTTGACATGGCCGAGAAGGCGTTTGATGCAGAATGCGCAACTATCTAAGTATTTGAAATCCTCAAAGAACGTATAAAGGGAAGGGATGAGGCCATGAAACTGCTGCATTCGTGCCCAGATGTCAATTTGTTCTGCATCACTAAATGCGGCAAAGGCCTGGCCGCTTAGTACCAGCCCTTTTGCTGTTTTAGCGTCATTGCATAACCTAGGTGCCAGCGATTGCAATTGCTCTACTGTGTCATGATCAATCTTCTTGCTTGCTTTTGTATCCCCATCCACAAGGGACAATCAGAAGTGCCGTATGTGTCTGAGGTAGTTGTTGAGCTTCTGTGGGAAGGCGAGAGTAAATGTCAGCCTGACTTCATATTAGATCCAAAACGGCCGGAGATAGTCACGTACGTTATCGCAGTTGGCGGCAATCAGGCTGTTAAATGCACTAATCCGCATATCATGATGCCATAGACCGGGTATAGTCAATAATGCATCCAGAGCACGTCGCAGAGAGCGATATTTGGGGTTTCCAATTCGTTTGAACCGTCCTTGGTTGCTTCGCGAAAGTTTTGCCAACCACCTCCTCCGAAATGGACGATTCTCCTCTCCTTCAAATCGACGGATATTGCGGTATATCTCACCATCTGTGTGTGTTGTCTTCCATATTCGTCGATCAGAGAGGCCTTCAGCTTATCGCCAATGCCTATGGTGACCGCAGGAACGTCAATCTATGTGTGATACCCAAGGACACAGGCGTAAAGCATAGAATACAACTGTACCGTTTAGATAAAGGTCCACTATCCACCAACTGTCATCACGGGCCAAGACTTCGGATGCGGCCTGGATGCGATGATGCCCATGAAGGCCTCGTAGTTTTTCTGGATTAAAAAAAAGCAGAGATTTGAGTTTTACATCATTCATAGGAACTTTCTGCAGAACTTCGGCTTGCCCCAAAGCCACTTTAAAATCATGTTTGGCGATAATAGCGGAGATATGATTCTCAACATCAAGATATCTGCACTGGCCTGTCTAGATGACCTGCTTGAGCTGTTCCAGAACCTTTCTGTCTAGATCTCGATAATTAGGCGGATAGAATTCAATTTGTTCAACTTCGACCCTGAACGTGCATTGATACGCTCGTTGCCATTCAGTAGTTAGCCGCGCCTCCCCTGGAGTAAACCAATCTTGCTGCATGGAGTGGGACGTACGAACTTTTTGCAAAAGATAGTCTTTGGGGACAAATGGGGCAGGGTGTGGCCTTTTTATGCTCAAGAGCAGGTCCCTGAGTACCGGCTGAGCACCTCAGCGGTCATAGTGTTGACAGTATCTAAATTGTTGGATTTCTCAGGGTTTGCCCAGTGCCCCACATCACAGCCACGAAGCTGATAGCCTGCCTCAGCGGAAGCTGCCTCAGCGGTGAACATCAGTCGAAGACGACCTTCCACGAGGTTCTGTTAGATCAGCCCGGAGCAGAGCTGAGTAGAACCTGAAAGAACGGAACTAAGTGGAGCACCTGTTATCTAACCAACATTACGAAAGGAAAGCAGACAGCATCAAGACGTTTGCATTGACCATTCCGAAACACTTGCTCCAGCTGCTCCAGAGCCTTTTCGTCTAGATTTCGATACCCCGGTGGATCGAATTCAATTTGCACAATTTTGACCTTGAACGTACCCTGATACGCTCGATGCCCCACATTCACGGCTGAGGCTAACAACCTGCCTCAGCGAAAGCCGCCTTGATTCTGCACTCCTGGTTGATTGGCGGCCTTCCACGGAATTCTGTTTCTGATAGGCTTCATGTTTACCTCTGAACCGGCTGAGTACCTCAGCGGTCATAATGCTGACAGTATCTAAATTGTTGGATTTCCTAGGGCTTGCCCAGCGCCTCACATCACGGCTACGACGCGGACAACCTGCCTCAGCGGAAGCTGCCTCAGCAGTGAACTTTAGTCGACGGCGATCTTCCACAAGGTTCTGTTTAGTTATTTTTTCGATTATTCATGGTAAACAGACCAGAGCTTTATGATAGCTGCTATCTGTCAATAGGATACAGAGAAACAGCTTTAAAATATTCAGGTCGTTTAATCAGCCACGCAAGACGTTAGAAGTAGGATTCCATTTATTTTAGCATAACAGTCGGGTGAATAGGGGTTTGCACACTTGTCCGAAAAAGAGAATAACATGTAATAACAATTTTGACAGTTTTCTTAGCCGCAAAATACACAGGACCCTTTTCATTGAAATAAACACCCCGTGCGTAAAGTATTTTAAAGGGCGGAAGCCCACTTGGCAATCATCTGGATCATCTGGCTTTGATTGAGAGGCTTTGATAGGTAATCATCCATACCGACGGCGATGCATCTGTCTCGATCACCAAACATAGCATGGGCTGTCAGAGCGATAATTGGAGTGCGCGGGTGACCATGCAGGTGTTCATGTCTGCGAATCTGGGTCGTCGATTCAAAGCCACCCATAATTGGCATCTGGATGTCCATTAGTATCACGTCATATTTCCGTCGTCGAACCTGTTCCAGAGCTTCTAAGCCATTATCAACCACGGTGATGTCGTGCTGACACTTCTCAAGGAACCTGACGGCTACCCTCTGGTTTACCTCATTGTCTTCGGCTAACAGGATAGCCAAGGGCTGGATAGATCCTGTGCTGACGCGAGTGGGCCGGCTCTCGAGGGCAGGTATAATACCATTTGCGAGGTCGTTCATACAGCACGGTATTGTCACATATGAGGTGATACCTAAATCGAACGCCGTCTTCATGCTCACCACTATGGCGGGGCCGATCAGAACAACCGGGGCAAATCGAAATATCTCAAGTGCTCTCAGTTCGCGTACACGTTCCGTTGACTCCACAAGCAAGACATCATACGGCGAGGATGTATTGTTGTGAGGTTGGCTGGCCGCCCACCATGCTGGTTGCTGGTTCGCTGGATCTGCGACGACTGGCTTTAGACCGAGAGCCACTAACATTTGGCAGATGGTAGCCGCGTGGCCATCGTCGCCTCCAGCAACAAGAAGGATCTGATGGTCCCTATAGGGCATAATTCGCTTACAGATGGCATCAGAGGAGGGACCTGCTGACTTAACTGCAAATGTTAAGTGAAAGGTGCTTCCCACGCCGACTGCCGACGACACCCAGATATCCCCGCCCATAAGATTAGCCAGTTTCTTTGAGATGGACAAGCCAAGGCCTGTTCCTCCAAATCGTCTGGTCATCGAGCCATCGGCCTGTTGAAATTTATCAAAAATCAGATCTAACTTGCTGTCGTCGATTCCAATACCAGTGTCAGAGATCAGAAACTCAAGCATGTGCTCTGAAGGGTCGGAATTATTAGAAGCCGTTTTTCGAGCTGAAAGTTCAATGCAACCGTGTTCAGTAAATTTTATGGCGTTCCCGACAAGGTTGAGGATGATCTGGTGGAGACGGAAGGAGTCACTGATAACATAGTCAAGCACGGAGTTGTCCACCCGGTATGTAAGATCTAAGGCCTTTTCATTGGCCTCCACTGCAAGGGTTTTGAGAGCGTTAAAAAGAGTGCTTCCAAGGCTAAAAGGGATCCTCTCAATCACCAAGTGATTTGCTTCAATCTTGGAAAGATCGAGAACATCATCAATTATTGCCAGCAGACTATTTCCGAGGTTATGAACCACACTGAGCGTCTCCCTCGTACAGGGATCGAGGTCATCCATGCCCAGCGCCAGCTGAGTCATGCCGATAATGCCATTCATGGGCGTCCGAATCTCGTGACTCATGTTCGCAAGGAATTCTGACTTGCTATTATTCGCAAGTTCGGCTGCTTCCTTGGCCGCTTTGTTTCGCTGCAAACTATCACGGAGGCTGGAGACCATCTTGTTGATTTTCTGTTTCAGCTCGTCCATCTCTCCCGACGCGCTAACCGTGATCAATTTGCTAAAGTCGCCATCGGTAGCTGCATTGCTGATCTCTCCAAAAGCACGGACCTGAGCCGTGAGGTTGTCAGCCATGATATTGACCCCCTCGGCGATCTCTCTCCACCGGCCACACATTCCGTCTGCATTGGCCTGTCCGCCCATTCGGCCCTCTACTCCAACATCCCGTGCAACCCGCTTGAGTTCCTGTGCAAATCGATCCAATTGCTGAACCATATGATTGATGGTTTCCTTTAATGTCAGGATCTCTCCACGAGCATGAACCTCAATCTTCTTGCTCAGATCGCCCCTGGCGATTGCCTGGGTCACATCGGATATCGAACGCACTTGCAGCGTTAAATTATGGGCCATAGTGTTGACATTGTTAGTCAGATCCTTCCATCTTCCCTCGACGTTGATCACAACAGCCTGGCCACCGAGCGTTCCGTCTACTCCTACCTCTCGCGCCACCTTGCTGACTTCAAAGGCGAATTGGTTTAACCTGTCTACCATCCCATTAATCGTGTTCTTAAGGTCCGCAATCTCACCGTTTACATTAGCAGTGACTTTTTTTGTGAGATCACCGATAGCCACGGCGGTGGTGACTTCCGCAATTTCCCGAACCTGGGTAGTCAGATTCATCGCCATTCGGTTAACGTTCTCGGTGAGGTCCCTCCAAACGCCCTGGACGTCGTTTACCGTGGCCTGGCCCCCAAGCACCCCATCAGTTCCGACCTCCTTCGCTATCTTCGTGACCTCCTGGGCAAATTGCCGGAGTTGGTCCACCATCGAGTTGATGATATCCTTCAAGGCAAGGAGTTCCCCCCGGCAGTCAGCTTGGACCTTTTGCGTGAGGTCTCCGTTTGCGACAGCCCGGGTGACTGTCGCGATATCGCGTACTTGAGTGGTCAGGTTGTTGGCCATCGCATTGACATTGACTGTCAACTCGTTCCACATTCCCCGGATGCCATAAATCTGGGCCTGTCCGCCAAGGACGCCTTCGATTCCAACATCACGAGCGACACGGGTCACCTCCGTGGCAAACGTGCGAAGCTGATCCACCATGGTGTTTATGGTCTGTTGCAGCTGAAGGACCTCACCTTTCGCCGGTCTTTCGATCTTCTGGCTTAACTCCCCGTGAGCAACCCCAGTCATGACCGCTGCAATCTCCCGTACTTGGCCTGTGATATTTAATGCCATTACGTTGACATTATCGGTAAGCTCCTCCCAGACACCGTGAACGCCTGCTATCTGGGCCTGACCGCCAAGAATTCCTTCAGTACCCACCTCCCGGGCAACTCTTGACACCTCACTTGCGAATACTCTCAACTGATTTATCATATCGTTGATAGTGACCTTGAAAGTGGTGATGTCTGGATCCATCTCAACTGGGCGAATCTGAACCTTCGTGGAGAGATCCCCATTGGCAACCTGCGTAATGATCCTCCCAATCTCCTGTAATGCTTGTTGGAATGCTTTATTCACTCGCTGGTGCTTCCGCAGCTCCTCCAGCAGGTTGGCCTTATCCTGCCAATGGCACTCCATGGCCTTGGCCTGTTGGGAATGTAAAAGCCCTCCAAGCATTCGGGACAAAATCTCCCGTGGCACACTGATGTATTTCGCGTCTTGGCGAAGAGTGCATTGCACCCACGCAACGTCAGCATCTATGGCTTCCCCGGTATCCGTGTCTAGGTTCGATTCTATGATTCCTCCTTGGCAACCACATGTCATCTCAGCTTTAGATCTTTCATCCTTCATTGAATGCTCTAACGCTGTCGTGCCAGGTGTACATGGCTTTGCTGAGAACGTGTGATCGAAGAATGACACTGGTTGAAAAGGTATGGCTGGCGATGATAACTCACTTCCAGGAGTGACAGGCAAATTAAAAGAAGCGAGACATTTCAGGTGGTGAACCAGGCGGACTAGCGCTAGGATATTCTTCTCGAATATGGCTTTTCCTTCACTTTGTTGACCTGGGAGTCGCAAGAGATCGATATTTATCGAGTCCTTAGATGAGTCAGCAGAGTAGAGAGAAAGGAATCATCCCAACGTACTGATGTTAGCCTCCCTTCAACGATGTCTCGCAGTATGGCAGCTGAGGCTAAAAAGGCCTCATTGGCAGTCGACATAGTCAATCAACGGCGACAGCTTATATGCCCTCCTTGAAGGGTATATAATAGGTTTGTAGCAAGTCGAAAAGCAGTCAATGTGTTGTGGGCTTAGAAAAGGACAGAAACGCAGGAAAAGGTCAGGTTGGTTTGTACTGACGGCTAGAGTGATACAATAGTCGGTCGGATTTTAAATGAAGGACTAGGGTTATTTTAAGGCGCTCCAGGCCAGCTGGCTCGCTTCAAACCGGATTAACCATGATATTATCGAACAGCCTGCCTTAATGTAAGTCTGGATCTAGGCGCGGTCTATGCAGAGTCACGCGGTAATATCCACGACCCAGGAGTGTAGGGTCCGGGCTTGATTTGAGTCTAGAATCAACCTATGCAGACGTGCTGTGGCATGGGTGGGTGACACGAATCACAAATTCCATTTGGACATGTGGTGAGGGGGCTAGACCGACCAATTCGTATCCTCCATATTGAACTGACAATATTTGGGCGGATACCTTTTCCTATTCCAATCAACTGCCTCCGATCCAGCCACGCAGCCTGGAAACGCCAGGCAAATAATATTATCCGATCAGGGAGCATAGAAGGCCTTGAGAGACGTGTTGGCGAAGGGATGTGAAATTCAATGGATGTGGTAGGAATGAACAAGGGAGGTAGGATCGTCTGCCGAATAGATAAATCTGGTTGAGAAATAAAATGGCGATTTTTAACGGGTGCAAGCATCAACTTCATGTTAGATCGGGAGTTATGGGATGTCTGAATAATTTATAGACTTGCTTCGGCTGTTGCGGAGTTACGTCAGAGCCGACTTGGTGTGCCGGACCCAGTGGGTAGTGCCTAGCAAGAAGGCTGGCATCGGCACGATTCCTCGAAGTATCTCCCTTTTGGAATAGCATGAAAATGACTTAAAGTGGACGTGGTCCGCCTTAGCACTCCTTCTCGGGAATTGGACAAGTTATAGGTTTCGTTACACCACAGGGCTAGTTGCGTATGATATAGCGTTGAGGTCAGGCGGGGGGCGTTCAATTGATACGTCAATTGATGATATTCGCCTACGCATTCACTCCAGTTTGTGAGAGGAATAACGACGAATAACGGTCTTTCACTTGCGCCACTTGGAGAAGAGAGAGAACTAGCTGCCCGTAGACGAAACGCAATTCGGGTAGACCCCGGCATGATTATCTGCAATTTTGGGTAGTGATCCTCCATGATCAGTCAGAAACCTACTAGGGACATTAGTGTGTTGGGTAAAGCTATGAGAACATGATCGGAATGCTGCACCAATGATTAAAAGTACCGGCAGGCAACGAAATGGTCACAATATCGCCTTTGGATGACAATGAAACTATTGGAACTGCATCCTGCGGACGTCGCAATTGTCGAGCCTACATCTGCGACCGACCCGGATATCGAGGAATACCCCCAGCCTGAACATTGATAGGTAGCATTATCGCTGTAGCGTAATCTGTATTTGAGGAACTATTGATCCGAAAGCCTCAGCAAAAACTCCCTGAGGGGGTTTCATTCCTCAGCGTGAGTCATAGTTGCACTCGCCAACTATAGTTAATTCAGGAACCGTCATGAACCGATGCATCTAGGAATTAGGGCCGGACAAATTGCGATCAGGTCGCAAGTTAGTACTAGACTACCCGTAATGGCTGTGGGACTCAAAAGCCCAGAGAAGATGCTCGATAGGCAGAAATCGATTTGGTGGGCTTGGAAAGAAAATCCCAAACCAATGTTCCCTCGGCGCTTTACCCACACAATCCTCATCAGGAGCTAAACCTTACGGTTCGGACTATTCATGGATGGGATTTGATCCCTACCTACAAAAGACGTGAAGCCAGGAGTACTTTGCCGCCGAGACTAGAGTCACTGAGACCGCCTCGATATCTCACTCTGAGCAATGTTGTGTAAGACGAACCCCTTCAACCCGACATAAATATAGCTTAGTCTCATCGAGACATAGTGGCCATTGTGCTGCGATTCAACTGCTCTATTCTTCCACTATACCCAAGGCCCTCGGCAACAGATAGATTAAAAAGGTCCTGCATTTGTGTTGTCTTATCACTACATGCATATCTTTGCGAAAAGGATTCGCTTATGTAAGAGACGCAAATTGCCTTTAACGTTTTCAACCACCGAGCGGTCTAAACCCCCGAGCGGTCCGTTTTCTTCCGCACCCCCATCTAAATCGACCTTTAAAACCACCAACGCTATTAGAATTGATTAATTAAAATACATGAAATAATAGCTATTTACTAGGGCAATTCCGAATTGTATGTCCAATTGTTCCACACCCACTACAGCGTTGCGGAGCTCGTCGACGAGGCGCCGGAGTAGATTCCGCAGGCTGCTCATTAAGCTGCGTGTTAAGCTGCTGAACGCGATTTTCACTTTCTTGTACATTAAGAAGGCGGTCATTTCCTATTTCAGCACGTTTTCTTGCCTTTTTCTGGCGTTGTCGTCCATTTTCAGCACGTATAGCCCTAATTTCTTGCTCTAAAAGTAGCTGGGTTTGCATTGCCATTTGCGCCGCTTTCTCAAGATGTTGAATATGTGCAATAGGACTGCTAGAAAGCTGCCGCTTTCTATTAAGGCTGTTCTGCAGGCTTCGAACCTTTCGATCTAGCTGGCGAGTATTCTGCGGAGTCTGAAAAGCAGAGGAAATTGAGCCTTCAACTAGTGGTGGTGTAGGCGTACGCAGTTGAAAGGTAAGCGTAGAGAGGATATGCTCTGGATTAAGCGGCTTAAGCCCTGCTCCTCTAAAACCGCTGCAGATATTAGATAAAGTAAAGACTTCCTTGTGTGCATCTGGATATAGCGATAGAAAGTCTTCTTTATCAATATGATTGTTGCCGACTTTCATACGATGTTCAAGAAGCTTTCCGTACGCCTTCTTAAGCGGACTAAAGACACCCACATCAAGCGGTTGAAGAAGATGCGAAGCATGAGCAGGCATGCAGAGACAGATTATTGCATGTTGCTTGCAGAAATTATCGAATTCAGCAGTTAGATGGCTGCTATGGCCGTCAAGAATAAGTAACCGCTTAGCACCAGTCATATAGCGCTTAGAAAGCGGTTCAAAGACATTTTTCAACCAGAGAAGGCCTATTTCATCAGTCTTCCAGCCATTCTGACTAGTAGAAATCCACCAGTCGCGAGGAAGCTTAGGTTCTTGGAACCAGGCAGCCTGTTGGACGCTTGCTTTCAATATAATGCCTGGCGGTAGATGTACGCCTTTTGACCCGATTGTCTCGATAACTGTGACCCATTCACGATTGCCCTGAATAACTCTGCGCGGCCGCTCGCTTCGCTCAACTGCAGTAATCACTTTTGAAATAGAGCAGAGTCCCATTGCAAAGCCAGTCTCGTCGAAGTTCCAGATATCGTCTTCATGTATGCCGTGTTCTTGAATAGTTGCTTGTACAATCTCAAACCACGGTTTTATAACCTTTGGATCTTCCTGCTTTGCGCGCTGATAAATAATACATCTAATATATCGCGTACGGAGCTCAGAATAACGCTTAACGAATTTATAAGGCCAGTTGATTCCGAAAGCTGCAGACATGCCTTGTAGACGATTATCAAGCAATATCTGAGCCATTCCACGCAGAAATTCGGGCCGAATTGGAAACCCTCGCTTATCTGCATCTAGTAATTGCTTTAAAAGCAATTGCTCTTCGATTTCGGTCAGTTTGTAGCCATTAGCGCGTGTTTCCGATCGTAATTTGATTCCATTAAGCCGTCGCAGTAAAGTCGTTTTTGAAACACTAAATAGGTCTGCTGTACGCGTTTTTGATCGAATTTTTTTTGATTTAGAGGCAGATACTGCCATCTGAATTCGACTCTCCTTAGAAAGATGCATTTCCGATGATAGTGGTGGAAAAAAGACGCGTCGAAGTTGAAGTTCTGAATTAGATAGGGGGTGGTGGAGAAAACGGACCGCTCGGGGGTTTAGACCGCTCGGTGGTTGAAAACGTTAACGTAATCAACCTACGAACCGCGGATACTACCGAACCGCGGATCCTTCGTCATGGCCACCACTATTTGAAGCTTTTCAACCACCAACTCCATTGAATTTAATTAAATAAATACATAAAAAAGTAGCTATTTACTAGGACAGTTCCGAATTGTATGTCCAACTGTCCCGCAGCCACTGCAGCGTTGCGGAGCCCGTCGACGAGATACAGGAGTAGATTGTTCAGGTTGCTCAATAAGCTGCGTATTTAGCTGCTGAACGCGATTTTGGCCTTCCTGTACAGATAAAAGGGTATCATCTTCTAGTAGAGCACGTCTTCTTGCTTTCTTTTTATACTTTCGCTCATTTTCAGCTCGTAAAGTCTTGATTTCTTGCTGTAAAAGAAGGTTGGTTTGCATCGTCATTTGAGCAGCCTTTTCAAGATGTTGAATATGAGCAACTGGACTGCTAGAAAGCTTTCGTTTAGCACTAAGGCTGTTCTG